TGTGTGTGTGTGTGTGTGTGTGTGTGTGTGTGAGAGAGAGAGAGAGAGAGAGAGAGAGAGAAAGAGACGATAAATCTCCAACCCCGTGGCTCGCGTCATGCTACTTCCATCGATAGGATAGCAAAATCAGAATGAATCGTTCGTGTGTGTGTGTGTGTGTGTGTGTGTGTGTGTGTGTGCCGCACGAAAAACAGCGCGGCTCCGCGTCCCGAAGCGCCACAGCCCAACACAGACCCGGGCCGGCGTCAAACCAATGCCGCGCGCACGGCGAAACAACACGCGGCGCGGCCGCCCGCAGGACGCTCGCCAAACGCGCCGAAACGACACGCGCCGCGAGACCCCGCCCGAATGGGACTGCCTCCAAAGCGACACGCGCCGCGACACCCCACCCGAATGGGACTGCCTCCAAAGCGACACCCGCCGCGAGACCCCGCCTTTCCTCCTCGGACGAACGTGCCTGCGCCGCGGGACTACCTCCTCGCCTCGTTCCCGTCATGCAGTTCCCGCTGGGCCCAACGACTGCCGTTACGCTGGGCCCTTTGCAGTTTTTATAAGGTATAGAGATATACACATATATATGGCACCACCTCAACAACAGATTCCCAGGAAAAAAAAAGAATTAAAATTAAAAAAAGTCCGGCGTTTGGCTGAACGCCGGCCAGGGGGGTTGCGACCGTTCGGCCATTCGGGCCGTCTTTTTCTGCCCCGGCCGAAGTTGGTTACCCATGCCTCTTTTTTTTTTTTTTTTTTAAATAACACCCGGGGTGGTGCTAGGGGTGCTAGTAAGAGCAGACACCCATGCCTCAAGTCCAACGACAGTAGATATATTCATACCTCAGGCTCAGGAACTGGGAAAGCAGGGGTTCTGTGCCCCAACCGTTCCTGAAGAGGCTGATCCCCTTTTCGTTTTTAAACCCTTCCTGAAGAGGCTAATACTTTTTTTTTTAACCCTTCCTGAAGAGGTTAATCGTACAACACAGTAGAGAAATATATATGTATATAGATCACGCTGGCGCTGCTGAACTGGGAGAGAACAGCAGAACATCTAGTAATGAGTTATCACAACCAGTTCGAAAGAAGTGAGAGACCTCACTTCTTTCTGAGGAGCCGATACACAACTAAGCTCAGAAGCTGCACTGCGCGACCTCACCATTCATTTTCTTCATTAGGGCTAGACAGGCCATGTCACGGCAGCCACCGCTGTCATCCAAAATGCGATTGTATGGACTCGTACATACTTCACTCGTATGACAGAACCTCATTCATAGATGACTGTTTTATGAGGATGAATGTTCAGACCCTTTCGCAATTCTTAGACTCATTCTAAAGCGGGTCGTTGTGTCCTCTCTCTCTCTCTCTCTCTCTCTCTCTCTCTCTCTCTCTCTCTCTCTCTCTCTCTCTCTCTCTCTCTATGTTGAACATTGTGTGTTACATCTCTCTCTCTCTCTCTCTCTCTCTATGTTGAACATTGTGTGTTACATGTCGACATTCAGACTCGTGCGTCTGCCTCCAACATGCTGCAGTTGTGAAAAAGATGTCATGGTACCCCAACGCAATCTTAACACGCATAGGTGAATGTTGAAACTGGAAAATTTCAAAAAATCCACAATGGGGTAGAATAGTGCTGCGGAAGAGGCAGGGATGCTATGGAGTTCCCTATACTAGCAATCTCGAACAAGTAGTATCTGCAGACTCTGGACATACGCCTTGCGACAGCCATCAGCTTACGTGAATGGGCGCTGACTTCGCCGAGCCTTGCTTTACCCCAGATGGGATTCGGGTGCCCAGCTCAAGCTAATCAGAATCTGGTGATTTGAATCTAAGAGTCTTCGGTGTTTAGTCCCTTCAGCGTAGGTGGACAGTCTACTCTGAAGTAAACCAGATGGGGAAGAGAAGGCCAGGTACCGCCGCCAACCAATTGTCTTGTGACAGCATGAGAGAGATGGTTGAATGCCCCGCCTGTAGATTAATGCCGGTGTGTGCACATGGGGATGGGAAGCAAGTGGTGGCGGACGGTCTCGGTCTCACTTGTGCCACAGTATGCAGATGAAACCCAGAAAGCGAAAAATTAAAAAGAGAAAGAAAAGAAAACGGGCGGGGACAGCAAACGATGCTGTAACTACCGCCTACGGGCCTAATCTAAGTCGGTACACCGATGAGCAGTTGAAGTACAGACTCGAGTTCGAATCTAGATGCAACCCTACGAACAAAACGGAATAATTCTGAATCACATGGGGCCGCCCTTTCATAGTTTCATCAAGGAAAAATAAGACGAAGAGGAGTAACTGCCAGACATAGTCGGGGAGGCAGTTAGAGAAATTTAAGTGGGGGGAAGAGAGAGATGAAGAACAGAATATTTACAGACGGACGTTCGGCACGTGGCATGCACGCGGCATGCACGCAGCATGCACAAAACGTGCTTCAAGCTGCCTCCGTCACTGCCTGCTCCGGAGAGGCTGAGGCTACAGGGAATTCTGACGACCGACTGTCGGAATTCACCATGACCTTCTCTGCAGTATGGTATTCACACTGTATCGCCTCGTAGTGCCTCGTCTCTTTTTCTGCTACCTCGTTCGGCACGTGTGACTGCTGCTGAGCAGGCAAACACTGGGAAGGGACTCTGACTGCGACTGTTTGCAGCAGAATGCGCACATTCTCCGGACACACCAAAGGTCTGGCGCAGCCATGCACCCTTCCTTTTGACACCAATGAGCTCCACACTCCCTCGCATGCGGCGACTTGCGACAGCAGTCGCTACACATCTTTGCCCGGCACCACACCGTCCAATCTCTTTCGCAATGCGGGGAACTACAGGTGTACTCGTCCGAAACAAGGGGATGGCGGTCCAGGCCGAATTGTCGTGCGACCATATTCAGCTCGCAGTGCTGGAGTGGTCCACCAAGCTTGTCTTCCCAGTAATTCTGATAAGTGAACATATCCATCATCGTGTTGAAGTCATCGTAACCATCTGAGTCGGGCACAAACCCGTCATACGCATCATCGTACTCACTCTCACCACAAGAGGAACCATCAACACTATCTCCTTCCCCATCATCGTCTAACCCGTCTGTATCCCCTCCTTGTGCACGCCTAGGTCCTCTACTCCGATGGTCCTTCTCCCCTTCCTCCTGCGGGCTGTACCCTGCCATCCGGTGGGAGCCCCTCCTAGCTTGCAGAGTTCCTTCAATGCTATTCACTGATACGGAAAGCTCCGCAATCTGGTCCCTCTCTCAGATCAGTTGCCGCAGCAAGCAGTGCAGCTGTCTGATTGCCTCACCTATATTCTTTTCGTCTAACGGCTCGCTCCTCTCCTTCATGTCTACCCCTCTTTCTATCCGAAAGGCCTGTCCCTGCATGCCTATCCCTCTTTCTCTGTGGAGGGACTGGTCATCCAGCCCTCCAGCATCTGGGGGGAGCTCTTCAACCTCTTCCGACGCCCAGTCACCGTCCAGCAATGCCGATAGGACACGACTCCTCAAGTACCTGATGCTGGAGCCTTCTCGGAATTGGGTCCGCAATTCTACGTCCCATGTCGCTGGGACAGCGAGAACGGTGCTGACAAGGTGAAGAAGGCCTCCCAGCCACAGATCAGAGGAGGAGGCAGTGGCAAACACTACTCGGCTGTGCGGGAGGACACGTTTCTCGACCAACCTGAAAATCTTCCGGTTCTGTATCGCAACGCTTACGTCACAGTCCAGCAAGAGTGCCCCGACCTGGTGGTCCGTCGGTATAAGCACGTCCCTTTTCTCCCAGTTCTGGCCCCACAGCTTCCACGGGCGTTGCGGATCTCCACCCCACTTCACAGTCCCTGCATGGCTATCCTCGCGCTGCGATGCGTCATCGAGGGGTTGCCACCGCTGTTCCACATATTCCCAATCATCTCTGTCATTCTCTGCGTGATCAGGATATGGCCGCGGATCATACCACGTGAGCTCGCTCTCAGGGATTCTGTTCATGTAATAGATCTCGTCCTCCCAGCTCTGAGGATGGCAAGGATGCAGGCACCATCTCCCCGGACGACGACAAGCCTCGCACTCCTTTAACTCCGGCCGACCCTCTACGAGGAGACTAGAGGAAGCCGCAGTCGCACAGCCGACATCCTGGACTCTAGTTTCTTTATCTACTCTCCTGGGGCAACTTTCATCATGGTTCTCTTCCCCGTACTTCCTCATGGCCTCCCTTACCGCTGACAGCTCGGTGATTGGCTGCAGAAGATTCAGGATGTCCATGCTGCTGCTCCCAAGCGACGTTGAGAGCCGAACACTGTGATCGACAAAGATCCAATGGAGCACACGCTCACCCTTCGCATCGAGGAACTCCTGCAGCGCCTTATCGGCTACTTTTGCATCCTGCTTGCGAACCGCAACGAGTCTGCTGTTCAGCCTCACTGCCGCATGATACTGGACTTGACGATTCCATCCCTTCAGTAACAGCTCCAGCAGAGCATGAAAGGACAGTTTGGAAGACCACAACCTGCGCCACTCGGCTTCCCAGATCTCGGAGTCCGTAGGCATAGGACAACTCCTACTCTCTACTAGCTTCACCATTGGTCTGCCTGACCGACTTCACTCCCTTCCTCTCCTCCACCCGAATATCCCAAACAGCAGCAAGTGCAAACAAACACCACAATCTACCGACAACCGACTCGAAACGCTTCAACTTGCTTAAGACTGCACTCAAACGCCTCCCCTCCCATGCCACAGCAACACCCAGAAGCACCTGGTGGCAATGCTTGGCAGTTCAGCATTCAAACAGTCGTATGCCGTGCCGTGCAGGGCGGGATTGGGACTATCGACAACCGACTCTAAACGCTTGAACTTGCTTAAGGCTGCACTCGAACGCCTCCCCTCCCACGCCACAGCAACACCCAGAAGCACCTGGTGGCAATGCTTGGCAGTTCAGCATTTGAACAGGCGTATACCGTGCAGGGCGGGATTGGGATTTTACAAAAAAGAAATTCTCTCTCCTCTTTCCAGCTGCTAAATCTGCCGAAGCACTGACTGTTTAACAAACCCCAAGCCCAGTCCTGAAGTTGCACACCCTTCGTCTTTCAGAACCTTGCTGCCCTCTATCAGCCACAAAACAAACACACTGTCTCATCTGCATGTTTGTTACGTTGGCCCGTCTCCTTTGAAGTAGCTCTTTACAATTTTGCTTCCAGTACTGTTTCCTCCTGCCGCTTTTTCTGTGCTTGGAACCCTCAACTTGCGCCCATGCTCGATGGCTGATGTACCACAGATCAGCATCCAGAGCCCGCAAACTTCATCTGGATGGAATGACAATTGTCAGAGGAGGAGCTCATGCCGCAGCCATTCTCAATGCACCCAGACCCGTTCTATATCACTGTGTACCTTGAAGTATGAACTCTCGACTTGAACCGATGGTCGATGGATGACAATGCCTGATGCACCACAGATCAGCATCCAGCACCTGCAAACTTGACCGGGATAGGATAACCAATGGTCACAGGAGCTCATGCCGCAGCACATCTCCACATGTACAGCGTCACAACCCCATTCCACATCACTGCGATCCCCCACTGCATCAAGCCTGCAGGTGTCATTTTGCAGCCCCGATGTGTGGAAAGAAGCCCGACCTTGATGGTTGGTTCAATCATGATCGACTGCCACTGCCAGCCCCGTCATACACTTCTGCCCTGAACAAGAGCAGGCAAAACAAAATGAACTGTTACAGAGTGTGCGTGCAAAGAAGGCCCCCCTGGATGGTATCCAACATATCCACCCAGTGCACAGCCGCTCAACGAATACAATTAACAGTTGTTGTCATTGAAGAACAGAGAAGTCAATGCACCGCCTCCATTCGCGACACACATCAAGGCCACCGTCCTCCACACGAAAGCTGATTGTAACAGAGTGGAAACCGGAAGACACGACAGCCATCCGGAAATGTACCAGAGCAGCAGCCAGACAGGACAGGAGGCCTACAGTACGGCAGAGTGCAAAACGCACAGGGAAGTAATCCAGGACAGAGAAAACTCTCTCGAATACATGGTGGCGCTACATTTCTACTGAGGAGTTTAGTGGAGGGTGTGCTGGGAATGTACTTTCTGCAGATCGCGGAAACAACGTCGGTCTGGGCGCCCTACAGGATGCACAAGAGCTTGGTTCCTTCACTGTTCGCAAAAAAACATACTCGCAAGGCCACGACTTATAACTGGGGGGAGATCTCCTTCTTCACTACGCGCGCATATCGGTCTGCTCGACTCTGCTGCTGTGGATCAGGTACCATTTGTCGACCTCCCTGCCATTTTTGTACCGGTTGACCACATACAGAGTGGAGCAAGGACCAATATTGAGCCCTATTTGGGGCTAGCTCTACATCTCTTCGCTACCCGCCCAACCAAAGGCCTCCCACAATCAGGAATTCAACGATATATCCATGGCCTCAGCCAATGAAAGAGCCTGTTGACTCGGTGGAAGTTACAACTAAGAACTCCTACAGGCATCAGTTGCTGACAATGACCCATCATAACAACGAGGCAGATCTTCTGCACTATGCGCGCACATCGGTCTTCTGTCGCTGATCTGTTCAGGCATCCAACGATTTAACCGTGGCTTCAGCCAATGAAAGATGTTGTTGCCTCAGTGGCTTGAAACTGAAAACTCCTACAGGCCAGAGGCAACCACTGACAAAAACGGCTAAGGGCATGCTGCACACAGCAACCTAACTCCTCTGCCCTTTTAAGCACCACACTGTGGCCACAAGACCAACAACGAGAGAGGGTTTCTTTTTTTTTTTTTTTTTAATACAGTAAAACTTTGAGGGCAATACTAAATTATAATCCCAATACATACATAACATACATACATACATACATATGCTAAGGGCAAAAAAGTGTTCACAAGGACCCCAGCGAGGCATAACAATTAGTGTCATGATCTTCAACGGAGGTCGGGCAGCCCCTGGACTAGTCGACACCCACCAGCCAACGGATAGACCTGTTCATGCCCACCACTCGGTCACTGGTCAGCTCGCATGATGTTTTGGGGGCAGAGAATGGGGCCACATAGGGGGTCCCAATTAGGGCATAGAGAGGGAGAAGCGGTCATGTGCAGAGAGAGGAGTCAGGGGGTGGGGGGAGGAGACACAGATTGACAGAGACGGTCCATGATGAAACTACTTCTTCTTCTTCTTCTTCTTCTTCTTCTTCTTCTTCTTCTTCTTCTTCTTCTTGAGTGGAGATGGCGGAATCACTCACGGTGGACTCTGATCATCTTTTTTTTTCCTTCTTCTTTTCCTTCTTTTTTTTTTTATTTGGACCATTTCTCGATTTATGTGTGTCATCCTTGCACAGGGGCCATGCTAATCTTCATTCTCTGTACCGCTCCAATTTTAATGGATGTCCGCTCCACAAAATTCTCTTCCTTTTACTTTCGAACTGCCTGGATGGTAAGTTTTTACTATGTAATGACCCGTACAGAATCAGTCTAAGATTTATGCTGTTTTCCAAGCACCGCTGCCTGATGGTCTAAATTTTTAAAATTTGTTGAGATTTCCGTGTTCTGAGTTCTGAGTGAGAATGCTGTTTCCTTGCATGCGTCTAACGGCCAGATCCCACCGGCAAAGAGGATTGGAATAAGCCTCTGAATCTGGACGTGTTTGTGGAGAGGTGCAAACAATTGTGATTGAACTGCTTTTCTGCATCTCTGTGTCAAACACATCCAGATTCTGCCACTTATTCCAATCCTCTTTGCCAGTGGGATCTGGCCCTAAGTCCCTATGTGACGTTGCCAAGTGATGTACTAACTGTTTGCTCGCCGTGTTCCCTGTGTTACAGGAAGCGTAGCTTAGAAATAGGGAGAACGACACGGACAGGACTGAGATCAGCCACTGGACAGGCTCGGTCGAAAGACCAGGTCGGCCGTGGACAAATTTAGAATTTGCCAGGTACCTGACATGGATTTCCGAGCAACTCAGATAGGCCCAAGTAACATCCAGTCGGCCTGGGTAGGTCCAATACTGAGATCGGCCACTGCACAGGCTCGGTAGAAAGACCAGGTCAGACAGGGACAAATGTAGAATTTGCCAGGTACCCGGCAGGGATTTTCCAGCAACAAGGATCGGCCCAAGTAACATCCGGTAGGCCTGGGTTAGGTCCAGTAGACTTCATAAGAATTCTGAGAGTCCAGGCCCATATCTAGGCTAGGTGGATTTTAGGCTAGAGAAGGTCCAGTCCTGGGGATTGCAAGCTGCAGAGATGTTCCAGCCTAACAACAGGAACGTCCGTGTGTGAGAGGCGCAGCAGGCTGGTTGAGGCAGTAGTACCTGGACGAGAGAAGTAGGAGGCCGAGTTGCAAGAGTATATGACTCGGGCACATTGATTGAAGCAGCATCTTAGCCGGCAGCCATGCTGCTGCTTCCCCCAGACGCAGAAGGTAGGCAGAGCTCCTGCTGAGCAGTAGAGGGAGAAGACGACGAGAGAAGGAAGAGTTGAGGGGGAAGATTTCATTTCAACTAATGTAATTCTTCTGCTTCGCCGTCGCCATCGCCGTGGTTGTCGTCATCGTCGTCGTCTTTGTTTACTATTCTTTCATTCTATTCCACTCGTTATATCTGTCCACTTTTTCTTTGTAGTTTTTTGCTCTTTCTTTCTTCTTCTTCTTTCGTCTTTTTCTTCGTCGTCGTAGTCGACGTCGTCAGCGTCATTGCCGTCTTCCCCTTCAGTTCAACTGATGTAATTCTTCTTCTTCTTCTTCTTCTTCTTCTTCTTCTTCTTCTTCGTCGTCGTCGTCCTCTTCGTCCTCGTCGTCGTTGTCGCCGTCATCGTTGTCGTCATTGTAGTCTTTTTTGTTTTTTGTGCTTTCATTCTATTCCCTCTTTATATCTGTCCACTTTTTATTTCTAGTTTTTTGTTCTTTCTTCTTTTTCTTCCTCGTCGTCATCGTCGTCTTTCTTGTTTTTTGTGCTTTCATTCTATTCCCTCTTTATATCTGTCCACTTTTTCTTTTTCTTTCTAGTTTTTTGTTCTTTCTTCTTCTTTCTTCTTCTTCTTCTTCTTCTTCGTCGTCGTCGTCATCATCGCCGTCTTCGATGTTTTTTGTTTTTTCTGAAATTTTTCATTATATTCCACTCTTTATATCTGTCCACTTTTTCTTTTGAGTTTTTTGCTCTCTCTCTCTCTCTCTCTCTCCCCTTCCTTTGAGTTTTAGCGAGTCTTGCATTGCCTGCGCAATCTGAGTTTTGCACCATGAATGTAGTAGGATCATAACACATATCTAGAAGGCTGCTAGGACTTAAAATAATCTGGTCATGACTCGTCAGTTTAAAGCTCAATATTCAAATCCATTTGACAAGATAATACCAAGGTCCACCAAAATCAGAAAGGCAGGGAGACAACAAAGCGATGTTCGCAAGGGTCCCCTATATAAGCCTTAGGAGTAGTGGTAGGTAGGCACTGAACGTGAATTGAAAGAATGTGAAAGGTGAGTATAGCGTAGTTTTAAGAAGAGTGTGTGGGGGGGGGGGGAGCAGAAAGGCGGGACTACAGGATGTTTGAAGTGCCACAAGGAGGACAACAGTGACCACAGAACAACGGAGAAGAACCATCCCAAGGCCCGACAAGGCTGTTTATCCTTGTTTTTGTGCTACCGGTAGTTTTGTCG